CACTCCTGAGTGGGACTGACCAAATTTAAATGTAATTGTGAAATATTTAACTAAATAAATAAAAGTACAATTAAACTTAAATATCATTTACATTTTAAAACTAAATCAGGATGCATGCGGCCCACAGGTATCCTTAGGTATGCATCAGTAGCTGCAGTGTATTTTAAGAGTTTAGCACCACAGATCTATGCCATACTGCTGTTAAGTATTTTATTTAGATTATTAACTCAGTTGAGAGACAGTTCACTTTTTAAATATAAAAAATAAATTCTGACTTGGCTGAAAGAAATGAATCATAGCATTTTACCCTGGAACCCTCCTAGCTCAGCTTCTGAGCTTTGGAGTGAATTCTTCCTTTGTTTAACATTAAACATGTATCAGAGCCCACATGAGATTAGTGACATTGATGCTGCATATTTTGAAGGAGCTAAGTAAAAAGAACAAAATGACAGTCTTTCATACATATGTTATTGATTTGAGGACCCCTTGAAGTAGCATAGGTTGAGAGAGAATCCTCTACCCCCTCATCATGGCTGATAAAGAAATTCAGGTTAAGAGAAGTTCTTAGTTTATTAACTTAAGGTTGTTTCAAGGACTCAAACCTCTGTTTCCCGATTCTCAATAGAAATGATTGATGAATTTTTTTTGTTAAAAATATGAAATAATGCAAGTTTCTTTGTTTTCTTTTTTAAGAAGAGCCCTGGAAAAGCTTTTCAGATTGTGGAACTTCGAATTTTTTCTAATTGGGGCCATCCTGAGTACACATGTCTCTATCGATTCAGAGTACATGGAGAACTCATCAAGTAAAAATACTGTCTACATAATTTTTCTTGTACATTTTTGTATATACCAAACAACCTGGAACACTGGATGAGGGCATGTTTTACCACGGGACAAAATTATCCTTTATAATAAACTTCACAAGACTGCCAGCAAGACAGTACATGAAAATTCAACTGATAAAATGTTTCAGATGCTCAGCTTGCTATTGACAGCTTTTTTTTTTTTTAAACAAATGGTCACTTTGAGAAACTGCATGCCGAATACTCTGGTTCACAAAGATCAGTTAGCAGAACAGGTGATGTTTCTTGTATGAAGTTTGAATTGTATTGTTAACAAAACCATTTACTTTTGTTTTTCAACTTTAGAACCTATTTTAACATAAAGTTCATCTATACACTTATATTTGCCTGGCACCAGGAACAAGGCAAATAGATATTAAAAGGTTCCTTAAGATTTTAGTCCCAGTACTTTGGCTTTTTCATTAGATTTTGAGGACTTTTTTAAGTATATATATTTCATCTATTAAGCCTTATACATATTACTGTCAGGGGAAAATAATGCAACCAAAATGTCTTTAATTATTTATCAGCAGCTTAAACTCCTATTCTTCAGGATTAGTGAGTACTTGCCTTAACCCAGACACAGATGTTACTTTACTTTACTATATTTGTGGGGTTGGGAGAGGGGGGTGGGATGGGATAGAGATTAGGTGAGGGAGCAATACCTTTCAAATTTGTTTTGGTTTGCTTTTATTCTTGAGCCAGCTTTTCAAAGTAAATAGTATCTCCTAATCTTGATTGAGCAAGATAAAGAAATTTTATTTCATTTGTTAGTTTTAAGGATGAACTAGATTTAAAAAGACAACTTAAATCTCAGGTCTGAATGATGCTTGTTCCAATTAAATTAATTGGTTTAGTCTGGGTTATACATTAAGAAGATAAAATTAGGATCTGAAAAAAGTATAATATTTTGGTTTTGAATTCTGCTGTAGAACTGACACTGATATGTTCTTAACAGTTGTATTTTTATTCCACTGGTCACATGATATTGAAAGTGTTTTAGCTAAAGTAGCAAGCAAGTTCAGCTGCCATTATTACATGTTAAGGCCTTTGTTTTTCCCCTACAAGAGCATTTTTACTGGATATAATTGGGATTTTCGTTATATTATACAACTGCATGTAGCATTCCTGCTTGATTGATCTTAGAGGCTTATTTGGTTGTGATTAACACTTGTGTTATCATATGTATTGTATTTTCAAAAAAAGGCTTAAAATGATGGTGCTGACTGGTTTTCTGAATAGAGTTTTATGTATATTGCACAACAGTCCTCAAATGTATTTAAAAATTCCATAAATTAGCATTTGTTCACTGTTTTTAGAAGTCGAACTAATGCCTATACAGAGAAGTTGGATAAAATATGTACAGGTATTTCATATATTATAGGTTAAATATATAAATCAAAATTATCCTGTGTAAATTAAATTTGGGAACTGGGATGGGAATATTTTGAATACTAATTTATTTTTAAAGATGCAAGATAGGACTTTGTGCAATGTATTTTTGTAAATGCTTTTCAAAATATTTGTCTTTGGTAGTGTTTTTTTTGCTGCCTCCAAATTCACAAGATGCTATTGAGATGTTTAAATAAAGAGTTTGTAATTTTTAAAAGTGCATGTAATATTTCAAATTAATAATAAAGAGTATATTTCTTTTCTCAATTTATGTTGCTTTTGCTACAGAATGTGAGGGGTCTATTAATAAATAACTTTAAATTGATATTATTCATCCAATAGATACTTAGTAAATCCTTTCTTTCAGCTTGTGTATCAGTACCGAAAAGAACAGTCAACTCTGAAAACAAATGACCAAAGAATCACAGAGGTTATGTAATGGTTGTTAACTAAAAATACCAAAGAGCTCACACAGGTTATAACAACCACAGTTAACTCTGAAAAATAAGATAAAATAAAAACAAATAAAAAGACCTAACTAACAGTAGTCATAAGCAAAATCTTCATTTCATTGGAGGAGGGAAACTAGACCCAAGTGCCTGGGCCTCCTCTGACCCTGAGACCTGCTTTAGTGTGGGCAAATCTCAGTACTCATGCTAAATGCTACAAAGTGACAATGACAATGAGAGGTAACAGCAAAAATGATACAAGCTTGATTCACAGCAGGGTTTCATGACCAGAACACAGGGTCCCTGCAGGTGCTTCTCCAGGCTCAGGGATCACCTGGTGCTGGTGTGAAACAATTCTGGGATTTTGCTGAGGCTGAGTTCACCAGAGGGTGAGCACAAAGGATTGTTGTTATGCCAAACTCAGGGCACAGCTTGCTTGTTGGACCTTATCTCTGCAAAACGGGGTGTCTCCTAATAGTAAAAAGAGACGAGTAAAAATAGAGGGGTGGTCTTGGCATGGGGATCCGGACACAATAAATGATTGTATAATGTGAACAAATAACTAAAATACAAGCATACATCAGATTTGAGGTCATCTAGGTCAAACACAGAATAAATGTTTTATATTAGAAGCATAATCCCTTCCCAAATCCTCCACCTTCTCAGGATTTCTCTTAAAAAGCTGTCTTCAACAATTGGTCCCCAAGGATAATAGCACTTTGACTTAGTTTCTTAAATACTGAGCACTGGTTACAAAGGTGCTTAGTATATGGTTTACAAGGAAGTCTCAAGTATTACAATGTAACCATAAATAAATCCAAACTAGGGCTTTCTTGTACTATGTAATATTTAGGTAATCTCTTAAAATTACTTTCAATCCAGGATATGGAATATATCACCGACTGTCAGAGCTGAAAAATGCAGTCTTATTCTCCACTTTTTCAGAAGAAACTCAGGCCCAGTAATAATAAGTGACTTGTCCCAGCAGGAAATTAAGACTCCCAGTGATTAGGACCTGGATCCCTTCACTGTTCTTTTCACTGTACCACATTATGAAGTGACATTTCATATAAAACTGAATGATGTTCAAGTTGAGATTTATTGCTTTGTGTACACGTACACAAAATGGAAATTACAGACAACATAATATTTAAACTACTGCTATTTGTTCAACTGAGTTAACCTGTATTGTGAAAGGACTCACTATTTTTTCTTTGTGTATACCTTTTTGGATACATGTTCCATACAAGTATGGCAAATACTGAAAAAACAGGAAATAGCAGTTTTATTTTGGAATTGAGTATATCGAGCAATAGTTATGTATGAGGGAAAAATTACAAGCCATATTAGGAAACTGCTTCTGAGTTTTATTTTAATAGCGCTACAAAACGGCAATTTGAGTGGCTAACAAACTTTTTATACAGATTTTATTCTCTAGGCATCTCTTTTTTGACTTTGTTGCTTTCTCTAACCAAAAGGGGCCATATGCTACTTTTGCAAAGATCCCTTTTTCCATTAGGGAAATGACTACCCGCTTGTCTTTATCATCAGCCATTATTTATGCATTAACAGTTTGAAGACACTGGTGGAATAGCAAAAATAGAGAATTGTTTAATGATACTCGGAATTGTCTTATAGCTGCGCATGATGGTGACTAGGAAAAAGACTAACAGCTTTACCGTCTACATGGAAAGATGAACCAATTAAAGCCCTACATGACTGTAGCATTAAATGGAAAGTTGCTTTTTTCGTTATTTAATCCTAAATCTCCGGAGGTGAGTGGCAGAAGCAAGCAAGATTATAGTGAGGAAACATCTAGGAAACAGATCAAGAATCCGGATTAGCGGGGAAGGCCGCCTTCGAGAAGGGTGTGATCAGTTCGGGGGATATGCCTCAGCTCTCGCCCCTGGCGGGGGACGGTTCTAGGTACGCCGCCCAGGAACCCAGAGAAGAGCACAGAGCACGACCCGTACGCGTGTGGGGGAGGGGCGGAGGGCGCTGGCCGAGGTTAGAAGCATCTTAAGAGGCGCGCATCTTCGCACTCTCCAGCTGCCGAGTTCTCAGAACGTGGGCGCACAGCTCTTTTAAGCCCCTGCGCGCCGCAGCCTTCACACATGGACATTGTGACGTCACTCGCCTCCTCCGTCCCCCGTCTTGGGGCGGGGCAGTTGTAGCTCCTCCTCCGTTGGGATGCGGCCCTACCCAGTCGACCTCCTCCCTCCCTCTGCCGTCGTCGCCGCATCCCCTCCCATGAGGTCACGTGGAATGGCACATCGCCGACACGCCCGCTGAAGCGCCTTTGACTGTTCCCTACAAGCCACCGTAGAAGCCCTCGGGCCGCCGCCAGGACGGAAGCCGGGGAGGTTGGAGAGTGACTACGGGCTGCGGCAGCCTTAGCGCCTGCTCTCTGCGCGGGCCCCCGGGATGGCGGCAGCAGCTGCGGCGATGGCCGAGCAGGACAGCGCCCGGAACAGCGCCCGGAACCGGGGCGGGGTCCAGCGGGTGGAGGGCAAGCTCCGCGCCAGTGTCGAGAAGGGCGAGTACTATGAGGCGCATCAAATGTACCGGACCCTGTTCTTCAGGTAGCCGGAACTCGCGGCCGGACGGAGGGCGGTCCGCCAGTCTCGGGGCGCCGGCCTATGCTTTCCAGAGCTTTCCGCCTCGTCAACCTAACCTGGCACCGGCACCGCCCTCCTCTGTTTCCCTATTGGCGGAATGGAAACCAGCTCGCCCTCTCATTGGCTCGCGCGAATGCCTGTCGTGTGTGTGGGGGGGTAGAGGCCCGGGGTAGTGTGATCAGGGCCGGGGAGATCCCTAAAGGGGAGTCCGGGGATGGGGAATGGGGCTTCCGGGCACCCCTTCCAGGGCCAGGCTGGGAGGGGTGCCGGTCCCTGCCCCGACCCAGCCGCGCACGCCCTTTGGGGCCTCAAAACTCCGGTTGGGTCCACCCCACCCCACCCCCTCAGCCTACTCCCGGCCTTGACCTCTGCAGGTAGCATGAGGGCCCCTCCCTCTCCCCGGGCCCAGCTCTCTACTAGCCCCCTGCCCTTCGCCAGTCCTGTGCCCACGGGCCGGGGGTGGGGTGAGGGGTAGACATTCCCAGGGTCTGTATCCCTTTGCTTCTGGGATGTCAAGAGTGGGCATTTATTTTGTTGGTTGGACACATGCCCCCATTTCAGCACCGTCGCTGTCTGTGGGGGCCGGCCGCGGTCTCCCTGACATCCTCCCTTGTCTTACCATCCATAACCCCGCCCCGGGCCAGGAGAGACAAACGACTGTCAGCCTCCCACGCCGAGAGCCCCCCGCCATTCCCTCCCCGCGAAAATCTGTTTTTCTCTTTCCAGGGACTTTTGAGTTTAAACAGGGTGGAAAGTTTGATATGTGTAGACTCTCCCCTGCCCTTGTTCTTGGTGGTCGTGCATTAGTTCATCTTTGACTAGCTTATAAGGTGTATTAAGTAAGGCCTGCCCATCAGTCTTGCAGAATTTAATTGGCTAATTTCTTTAACGCAAGGCATTAGTTGACTCTGATTAGGGTTTGTGAAATACTGTGGCAAGCATGGTTTAGGTCATTTTTGTGAGATTTTGATTCTTTCTCAAGGGATCTGTGTTGATTGGGCAAGACCAAACTAGTATTAGAAATTGTTTTTTTTTGTTGACCTCCAAAGTAAAAGAGAGTGTGTATTTGAAATTATCATGGTCCTTTTGGTCTTAGCACTGCTTTCCTTGAGGAAAACCTTGACCATAAATATTTATGTTTTCTTCAAAGATAGTTAAAATGCAGTTTTCCCTCCAAAATAATCAGATTGAAGTTTTTAAAATCCTTTCCTCTATTGTCCACTGCCATCTTTTATAGGTTTAGTTGACATATAAGCCAGGAAGAGTATGTGTGTATTTGTTGTAATTTGACCATAGGAATTTTCTTTTAAGAGTAATATTGTGTAGTCAAAAGGGCTTTGGATTTGGGGTCAGAGGACTTAGGTTCAATTTCTTATCTGGTTACCGACCAGCATCTTAGAGTTAGAGCAGGAGAAGTTAAGCTCAAAGAACTAAAAGGACTTGTCCAAAGTCATTACTCCGGTATTAAGTAGCAGTTTTGTATAGAACTGAGATACCTTAACTCCAGACCCAGTGCTCTTTTCCTCTACACCAGGGTCTAATGACTTCTGTGTGTGTGACCTTATGCAAGTCAGGGAACTTCACTTTTCTGGGCCTCAAGCTTCCTCATCTGTAAAAATAGTGGAAAAAAAAAACCCAAAACTAATAGGTTGGATTAGAGAATATAATCTCTGAACCATACAAGCTTAAAATCCCTTATCTTAGGGTCAGTTCTAGTCTTGCTGGAATTTAGAGGGGTTACATGAACTTGTTGGTTATACTGGAATTTTTGTAATATGAGTTAAAAGTAAGTTAAGTGGGCATTGATTGGAACTTGGAAACATTTCATGGTGATTCTTACTCTGATAAGATTTGGCTTATACTGTACACACACAAACATACACATATGTAAATTGCCATTGCTCAAAAGCCTATAAATACAAATTTTAAAGATCATTTGTACCCATTTTTGTTGCTTAGCCCAACTTACATCTACATAATTGTAAAGTAAGAATAGTATTTTGGGTTTTTTTTTAAACATGTTTTCACTTAAATTCTGTTTTATTTATTAATCTGAACTTAGTAATAATCAGTGTTGTCTAATGTGCTGTCAGATTATGTTCCAGAGACATTTTGAGCTTGTTTCCTTTAAGGATAGGTAATTAAGTGAACTTTACTGAAATGATATTTAATCTGAACTGCTAGCATTACAAAAGCTGCGAGTTTATGTGCCACCAAAAGTTTTGTAAGTGTAATTCTTCATATTTGTTCAAGGGAAATAAAAAAGGAGGGTTGTCCAGATAAAGTGATAAGGCCCATATTTTCTTTTCTAAGAAGTTTCTCTAATAACCTTTTATTCCTATGGAATATCTGCAACTGTATGATAAAAAAGAATGTTAATCTCTCCATTTGGTCTTAAACTGAAGGCAAATTTTTTTAAACCATAGTAATATCTAAATAATTTTTGACTGGTAGCTTTGAAATTTCTACAAACTAAAGCTACATTTAGTGTTTTTAATCATTCTGCTACAAAACATTTTTTTGCTCTTTAAAAATAAAGCTATTTTTAGTTTTACATGAGAATAGTGTTTCCCAGTAGTTTAAAACAACTTATTTAATTAGTCTCCTGGTAGAAACCACAAACTCTAATGCATTGTGTTTATAGTTGCTAACATTTGAAACTAAATATTATTAGCTGACAAATGTTGGTGACTTAGTAAAGTTGATTCTCCTCTCCCCCCTCAAAAAAAAATAAGTAAACTAAATAAGTGTTTAGACATGAAACTTAGTTGTGTGTTAGCTAGTCTACACCTTTTGAGGGTGTAGGGGGACAGACTAGCCATTTATCTATTATGATAGTATGTCCTTATGTATGTTTAAAGTTGGCTTTAGTTCTGTGGCAATCAGGCATCTTCAGTAAATGTTAGTGTCAGTTATAATAAGAGTAAGTAAACCTCAAACTTTTAATTGAGATTGATTTCTACACAAGCATTTTTTCATATGCCTGTTGTTTTCTGAAAAGCAATTTCATGGATTTTAGCTTGTTCTTTACTTTCAATTGAATCTGAAGTTACTAAGAGTGTTTAATTTACAATTATTAAATAGATACACTCAGTTAAGGGTAGACCAAACCTTATATTAGTGGTGACATAGGTAAGAAAATTGAGTAATATATTGAGTTTAGATTCCAATTTTAGGACCCTAGATCGGTGATCCCAGGATGGTTCCCAGTGGTCCAGCTTTGAAATTGTCAAAATAGATACATTTTAATTAACTTTATTTTTAAAATAAATTTTTATTGATGTATTTTTTTACATCATCAGAATTTCCCCAGTATCTTTCATCTCCCCATCCAGAGAACCATCCCACATAACAAATAATATTTTTAAAGACAAAAGAGGAAAAAAATCAGCAAAACTCGTCTACATCAGAAAAGTCTGAAAATATATGCAATGTCCCACCACATTAGTGATTCTTCCAAGGGTATCTTTTCATGTTTCTCTTTTGGAGCCATGGTTATTCTTTGTCATTTTGTAACATTCATATATGAAATTTTTTATTTTTGGTGGTTCTTTCCTTTCGTATTGTTGTAGTCATTTTGTATATTGTTTTCTTAGCTTCATTTACTTCATTCTGCATTAGTTCATGTAGATTTTTTTTTTGCTTTATTGTATTTGTCATTTCTCACAGAATGGTAATGTTACATTACATTCAGGTACCACAATTTGTTTAGCCATTCCCCAGTTGATGAATTTTGTTTCCAATTCTTTGCTACCACAGGAAGTCCTACTATAAATATTTTGGCATATTTGAGAACTTTCTTCTCGTTAATGGCCTCCTTGGGGTGTAAGACTAGTAGGTTTCTTACTGAAATTGCTTTATCTCAAGTACATAATTCCTGTTTTGGAGAGGTTTGAGAGATTTTAAGAATCTGAGAAAGTGTCCCCAAAGTTCATTGTCCTTTAACTTTATTTTTAAAGAAGAAATAAGTACATGTTATGTGGTATTTATTTGGGTTGTAATGAAATCAAACTAATAGAGTATGTCAATTAAAAAAAAAGTATCAGAACCACTGGCTCATACATTTAGGATCAGAGAGCATTTCAGAGTATTCTGCAGCATTTTCTATAGATTAGGTATGATTCAAGTAACTATATAAAACTGTCAGCTGTCCTGTGTTTAATTTGTGGCCCCTTTCCTTTATCTGCTCCATTCTAAGATGAATACCTGATTCATTCTTTTTTTTTTTCTTTTTCTTTTTTCTTTTGTGGTGAGGCAGTCAGGGTTAAGTAACTTGCCCAGTCACACAGCTAGTAAGTGTTAAGTGTCTGAGGCTGGGTTTGAACTCAGGTCCTCCTGACTACAAGGCCGTTGTTCTATCTACTGTACCACCTAGTTGTTTCATTCTTAACCCATGGAAGGATAAGCACAAAAATTTCAGTTCCTGTATTCATTATCTTCAAATAGAAAAATGACTGAGAGTACCAGTGGGTGGCCTCAAGGGCTCAGTCCTTATCAGTTGAGTGTGAAAATGTTCCTAATGGGGGCAGGTAGGTGTCACAATGGATAGAGCACCGGCCCTGAAGTCAGGAGGACCTGAGTTCAAATCCGGCCTCAGACCAAACACTTGACACTTGCTAGCTGTGTGACCCTGGGCAAGTCACTTAACCTCAGTTGCCTTAAAAAAAAAAGAAAGAAAAGAAAAGAAAATGTTCCTAATGATGACTGACTGTTTACAGATTCTATACTTGAAGAGATGGTTTTTATATTTTTAGAGTAAAGGAATCTTTGTATTTGTCTTTTTCTTATCTACCAATGACTGTGCTCATGTATCTTACTGATTCACTGTAAGTAATTTAATATTCACATTTACCATAGTGTCTTTAATATTAGAACTTCTAGGGATGGATGTCTTGTGGAACTGTGTAGTTCTGGGGAGCACAAAGTTAGGACATATCTTATGTGGATTCCTTTACAAATTACAAATTCTTCATGTTGACAGTTATCTATATAAATGGTTATGGTTTAGATATTTGTACTTGATCCCAGGTTTCTGGTACCTTGCTGCTTTTGTTTGTGCATATTGATCCTTTTGTGTGAGAATTAGAGCCTAAAGTTGGCCCAAATTACTAGGTTTTATTTTTTCTTAATATAATTTTTCCCTGTGATATTTTTGAAAGAGTATCTCTTTATGTAGCCAGATTTTTTGGAGATGATCTAAAAGTATGAAAGAGTTTTGCATTTTTAGTTTAATCACTGTATGTGGTTAAATGTTTTAAAAGGCCACCTGGTACTGAAAAATGCAAATAATCTTTCTAAAAATTACCCCAAAGAAGTGCTGAATAGTAGTTTTGTCAGTCTTCTAAGATCTTGCAGTGTTTGCTAAGTGATCCTTCAACATCTATAGCATGTTATATACAGTGTATTTTAAAATAGCAGATGACCATACTGAATACATAATAAATCAATTGTGAGATCTGATGACAAAAAAGAAATCAGCTTTATAGTAAAACTACTATATTATCTTATAAGCAGACTATTAAATATAAAGACAGCCTCCCTGCTTTCACAGACACATTTCATTATTCTTATTTGATCCTGTATTTACTGAACTTTCTGACTATTGAATCATTCATTGATGGAATGGAGCCTGGTAGGTAAAGTAGAATTATAACCCAAGTTTCTTGAATTTCTTCCTTAAATTCTTACATCACCCTCAGCATGGCAGTGAAACAATTAAAGGCATTTTGGATGTTTACTTGATTTAATGTTTTTCTTTTCTCACCACAGTTAAGTAGATTTTTCCCGTAATATGCAGCAGTGTTTAGGTCTCAGATTAAATGGAAAGTTAAAAGACTTTGACTGTTTCCCATAGGTCAGTAACTAAGAGGATATAAGAGTATATGGGTTTATATTAAGTTAAAATGAGTATATGGGTTTATATGTTATTGTTAATTTCGGAATGATTTTAAAAAATATTTTGATAAAGAACTAGAAGAGACAACACTCATAGAAATAGAGTAAAGGAAAAAAGACTAATTCTTTTGTGTATAGTCAAACTGATTTATCTCTGTAGGTAAATCTGCTGTTGTAATTATGTGGTGGCATAGTAACACATAGCAGGCAACCTACTTTGTTATCCTGTAAGCAGACTATTAAATATGAAGACAGTCCCCTGCTTTCACAGATACGATGTCATTCTTATTTAATCCTGTATTTACAGAGTTTTCTTCTCCATTGAAGTCTTACTGTAATGCTTCATCTTATTTTTGAGGTGATTCTAGTTTCAAAGGCTGTGCTAGTGGAGAATGTTCGCAGTTCCTACCTGTACAGTTCCCAGAAAGGGGCCACAAATGAAACACAGGACAGTAAAAAAGCAGCCTTCTATAGTTACTTGAATCATGCCCAACCCCTGTATAGAAAATGGTGCAGTTCTTCACACTAGAGAAACTTTGAGTCTGTGCCCTATGATGTGATGGATTCTATGGCTGCCACCAGAGGACTGGAGAGTTGAAGTTGATCCCTGGATTTTGCCACAACTGTTAATGAAGACCATCTTCCAATGAGTTACTTACTACCTTTATGACTCTGAGCAAGTCACTTAGCTTCTGTCTGCTGCCTTGCTTTCCTATAAAATGGGAATAATAAGAGCACCTATTTCCCAGAGTGATTGTAAGGATAAAATGAGATAATATATAAAAGCACTTTGCAAACTTTAAAGTACCATATACATTTAATACATTTACATCTTCAGAAGCATGGAGGAGCTTTAGTCTATAGAAGAGAGATTCTTTAGAGGTGAAAAGCAATTCATCTTTATGGACACTACATATGTCCTAGTAAAATGAGATAAACCAATTTTACCAACTTTTTCCCATTTAGCTAATGGTTATTTATTATTTTGACTCACAGCCTCCAATATTACTTATCTGGCTCTGTCCTAAAACAAGAAACGATTAAGAATGTCAGAAGATTTTGAAGGATGTAGCCAAAGATGTTCTCTTTTTCTTACACAGTCATCTTACGTGATAGAACTTTGAGTGGAAATTAAGTGGAGAGGAGAATATGTGTAGTAGAATTTATTTTCAGCTTTCTGCCACTTCTACTGCTCTTGTACTAGTGGGATTGGTTACTTTGTCCCAACTCAGAACAAACCACTGTTCCTGTACACTTGCTTAAATCTTCTTTCATCCAGAAATCTCACTTTAGTATTATCCAGCCCCAAGGCAACTTTCTATCCTTAGAATATCACTCCCCCAACTTGTTAAACTTTCAGTCTCCTATCATTCAAATAGCTGAAAATTTGTGCAGCTTTATAGGACTAATGAAAAATGGAGATGGCTATTTTCTCTGCCTATTTCTTTTCAGGGTTTGTACTCTTAGGTCTATCTTGCTCTCTCTGCTCCTCAAGTGTGTACTTTATGTATATATATTGGGACTGACTGCTGATACTATTTACATATTTGATATTTTACTTCTATTGACTTTGTGTCATCTATGATTTATCAAGATTTGTGGTGGCTAACTGTAAAACTGGAGAGGGCAGAGATCTTGTTTCATCTAAATGCATCATGTACAAATAGATACTGGATAATAAATGTTTTTAAATTAATAGGAATGTGCTGCTTCCTTACTATTGTCCTTCCCTCCCCCAAGCAAAGCCATTTGGCAATGTGTAAGAAACTCAGACCTCCCCTTGAGATTTTTTGGTAGCAAGTAAGTGTTGGAGATCATGGCCACTACAATCTCTGAGGGCTGAACTATATGTGATCTAAAAGTATTTGGTTAGGGAGAGAGGCCCTGTGGGAATAAAAGCCTCCTGGGGGCTTATGAGGCTTCAAAAAAAATCTCTGAATGTTAGAGAGGTAGAAGGAGCCTTAGACATTTTATAGTCTTACTCTCTCATTTTACAGATGAAACTGAAGCTCAGGGAAGTTAATTAACTTGCCTGAGATACACAGTAAGTGGCACAAGCAGGATTTGAACTTTGGTCTTTGGACTTCATATCCATCCCTGGTATAAAGCTGTATGTGCAATAAATAAAAACTTGATACTAGCTTTTTTTGTTGTTGTTTAGTCCTTTGAGTCATGTCTGACTCTTAGTGACCCCATTTGGGGTTTTCTTGGCATAGATACTGGAGTGGCTTGCCATTTCCTTCTCCAGTTCATTTTACAGATGAGGAAACTGAGACAAACAGGGTTAAGTGACTTTCAAAGGGTCATACAACTAGTAAGTGTCTGAGACCAGAAAATGAGTTTTCCTGAGTCCAGACCCAGTGTTCTATCCACTGTTCCATTTAGCTCCCCAATTATACCTTCTTTGAAAACTTGTGTATGTTTAACATTTAAATTCTAGATGTAGTCAAGCCCTTATAAAATCTTTGTTTTGTGGAATTGAATGAAATTGTTAGACTCTGTCAATGATGTTAGGAACACAGTCCTCTTGTCCATTTGGAGCAGTTTGGATGTACTGCATTACTTGACTGTTTCAGTGTTGTTTGTTCTTCATTATTATAGGTACATGTCACAAGGCAAACACATAGAAGCAAGAGAACTAATGTACTCAGGGGCATTGTTGTTCTTCAGTCACAGTCAAGTAAGTGACTTTTCATTTCTATTTCTGTTCTAGAAAAAACTGAAATGTGAATGCTAAAGAAAAAGACTAATAGGTGGCATGCTGTGGGCTGGTGCTATGCATTTTGTCCCATTTTGAATCAGTTTTGACAGTAGTAACCTGGTTGTTCCATTGAATAGAAGCCCACATCTGCAGTAACAGGCACGTGGAGCCCTGCCTTATTTTGTGCTGCTTTTACAGCTTTGGCTCCAGCCCTTTTGGGTGCCACAGTGACAATATTATAGCTAGGAACACCTCATGTTGTTCCCTGATATGGTAACCAGTTATACTGGAGTAGTAACCCTAAGGACCTTCCCTCCCAGATCGATTTTTCTTTTTTGATTGGGTAAAGAGGCTATTCTCTGCCTCATTTCTTATTAAGCCTTAATCACTGAGTGGGTGTTGCCTTAGTCAAACTGAGACCAGTTAAAGACCTTAGCTGGAAAAGGCCAAGGTCCCCCAGTCCTTCTCCAGTCGTCCTGATCTATATCTTGCCACTGGGCCCAGATGGCTCTGGAGGTGAAAGTGAGGCTGGTGACTTTGCACAGCCCAGTTCACTTTAATGTCATGGCATCACCTCCATGATGTCATGGTCCTCTTTGAGAACATAGGACAAGCAAGAATGACAAGCAACAGCCGGTTTTAGTACATCCAGTAAATAGTTATTGTGTCTAGAACAGCTTCATTTATCTGTTCACAAGCTTTGAATCATTTGAAAAAACTGGTTAGCACTGCTTGTTTAGCATATGCCTTTGAAAACTGAAAGCATCCTTTTTTTGTTTTTAGAAACTAATGAGAGCTTCATGACTAACAGTATGCTTCTTGTTTGTTTGTATATGTTTTGTAGCAAAACAGTGCTGCCGATCTTTCCATGCTGGTTTTAGAATCCTTGGAGATATCAGATGCGAAAGTAACTGACGAGCTATTGGGTGAGAATTTTACTGTGTTGAGCTTTACAGTGCTTAAAGTACATCTGCATTTTAGAGATTATTTTTAACTGGCCACTGATGTAATGATTTCTTAAGTCTTTTAATTCCCTTTTTGGTGCCTTGAGTTGTGACGTGGTGTGGCATTAATTTTGCTTTAGAAGCATCACAGCACTTTTCACAACTGAAGATCATAGTCTGTGATTGAGTTAGTGCTGAGCATACTGGCACACTTAGCAAACATCTATGTTTTATAGGTGGAGCATGATTTTTGGCACTGTCCTCTGCCCCAACACAGGAGCAACATGTAATGTCTGCACAGTAATTGACCTCTCCGCCGCTTTGATGGACAGCGGCTTCCCATCCAGTCAGCGAGGTGATGTGCGCATTGCCCGCGAGTCGGCCATTTTGTCAAAGAAACTTTGCTTGGCGGACTGTCTAATTCGGTAAGCGTGCAGTTCGTGAAGCCCTTTTTGTGAGCTTCCCAGCTGGAAAGAATATGGAGAGGCCTAGCCACCCCTTGCCTCCACTACTCTTCCAGAGGCCTGTCGACAAAATGGAGAATAAAATTGAGGAGTCTGTAATGTTTCTGTGACTCCATCCTGGCACATTTACTCCCCAGTCCCCTGATAGTGTTGCCCCATTCTAGATTTCATTCTTCCGCAGGGGCCAACCTCCCACTGCAGCCTTCCCTGTCCCCCAACTTTATCACATCTGGGCTAAGCAGTGAGGCAGGAAATATTTTTTTTCCCTTCCTACTCACTAAGGGAGAGTATGGCTTCTGGCACTGCAGCGGAGAGGTCAATTGGATATTAACAATTCACAGAATTAATATGAATTTAAATAGTACATTTGGTACATATATCTTTTTAAATGCTCTGCAACTTTCTTTTAAAGTAAAAGAGTTGGTTTTTAAGCTGTAGTATATCCACAGAACACTCAATATGTGTTTTCTTTGATTAAGGATCTATATTTATATTGCTTTTAGAAAATTTGGCTAAAGTGTTTAGTTTGATGGATCCAAATTCTCCAGAAAGAGTGGCATTTGTATCCAGAGCACTGAAATGGTCCAGTGGTGGATCAGGGAAATTGGGTCATCCAAAACTACACCAGTTATTGGCTATCACGCTATGGAAAGGTAAGAATCTTTCCTTTGGGTCACTTTAGAATTGGAATGTGTCTAGGGAACATCTCATTGATAGGTTACAATTTCATAAGTGTAAAAGGAGAACTCTAACTGCCGCATGGTGGGCACTAGCTTTGAAGTCAGAAGATTTAGGTTCAGCTCCTAGCTTTGCTGTTTACTGCCTGTGTAACTATATTTGAATCATTTAACTTCTCTGGGTCCCAGTTTCCCTTTCTGTAAATTGAAAGGGCTAGACTAAATGACATTTAAAAGGATCCTTTTAGCTTGGATTAAACTACAGATTATATAAAGTTGAAGAATGTGAAATGCTTGGAAATGAAATGTTATGTAAATGTAAAACAATGAGTTGATGAATAATAGAGATTAATTGCATAAATATAACCTTTTATAGAGTATTGATATGGGTGTGGCCATATGACCTTTATTTTAATTTTCATTTTGTAATTAAAATAGTCCATTACAGCTCTAGATTGGGAGATGAGGGGTGGGGTGTTCTTTAAAATGCTTCAAGAAGCGTTTGTCCAAATTCAGGTGTCTGTACTTTCTGCTTCTGTATTTAACCTCTTGACTTTTAGTAAATCTTTAAGAACACTTTGGTTTGATACTTTAGCTAACTATGCTGAAATTAATTGTAATACATTGAAACTTTATTAATTGCCAGTCATTTGGAATTCAGAGAGTTAGGCTGAAATATATCTTTACATTATAAACTCTTCTTAATGTAAATTAATTATGTAAACAAGTTTAGAGTATTTAGGAGAATTTTTTTTTTTTTGACTTTTATTTGGTGAGGCAGTTGGGGTTAAGTGACTTGCCCAGGATCACACAACTAGTTAAGTGTTAAGTGTCTGAGGTCAGATTTGAACTCAGGTCCTCTTGACTCCAAGGCCGGAGCTCCATCCACTGCGTCACCTAGCTGCCCCTTAAGAGAAATTTTAAAATACTTTTCTTGTACCTTCAAGTATCATACCAGTGATGAAAATGGTCATTACAAAGAATTTTTATATTCATTGTAATGGAAATAGAAATGGATCTGGTAGAGATGCTCTCTTATAACCTGGGAAGAGTTGGGAAACCTGGGACTACTTAGCTCTTCCATTCATTTTCCATATTTAAAGTGACTAATCTCTGAAGCAAAAATCAGGACACATGGTCTGGAGATATTTCTTTGGTACAGCTTCATTAACAGTAGACTTTCTTTTCTTGAAATCAGGACTGTTTCAGAAAATACAGGATATTGTCACCTCTACATTTCCTCAGATTTTTCTTTCTCTTTTAGCAGAAATGTGTAAAGACTATTTATTTAATTCTTGAAAGTAATGAAACTTGAAGGAAAAAAGCGATGGAATTGCATTTCCTGAATAAATAAAAAAGTTTAAGCTGGGTAATTGAGACTTTTTATTAATCCAGCCTTTTTGCCCCACCCCTCTTTAGTACAGTTTAGTTATCAGTGCTTACAGAGTCATAGATCTACAACTAGAAGAGACCTGACAGGGCATCTAATCTAAGGCCTTCCTCATTTTAGAAATGAATAAACTGAGGCTTAGAGAAGTTGAGTTAATGACTTGACCAAGGTCACAACAATGTAGTAAGTGGGAAAAGTGGAATTTGAATCCAGGTTCTCTCATTCCACTGGCCTCCACACTGCCTCTCTTCTTTAGCTCCATATTCTTTATGTAGTTTGTGTTATCACCTGGTCTCCTTACACATGCAGAGAGGTGCTTGATCAGTCCTTTTTGATAATTATATGACAGCCTTTTCTGCATTTTGTTAAAAAGAGGTTCACTAATGAAAATAATTAACCACCTCTGAGCACAGTCCAAGTGTTTCTTTTACTTTTTTTTTTTTTTTTAACTTTTTTTGAGTGAAAAAGAGTACCTGGAGTCTCAGGACAAAAGACATTTTTTAGGGGAATTTTTCTTCCCTTTTTCATATATTTCTATGAAAAAGTTCAGATTTTTTTTTTTTTTAATTGTGATCTGTTTGCTCAGTCATTGTACTTTCCCCGGGGACAGAAGGTATGATATACCTGGGTGTGGGGGCAGTAATCAAGGTTCTAATCCTGGTTTTGTAACCTTGGACAAGTTATTTCACCATTTTTGAGCCTTTATTTTTTTATTTGTCAAATTAGATCTAATTACTATAGACCCTTTTGTAAATTGTAAAGCTATTATCAAGGGGGTGAGGACTGGTCCTGTGATTTCCTTGAGAGAGTGAAGACAAAGCTCCTTCTACCAATATAGGTTAGTATCTGCTCTGTAGGCCAGAGCCCTGAGAGATTAAATGTCCTGCCCAAGGCCATACAGCCTGGGGTATTTGTCAGAGGAGGAACTTGAACCTAGGTCTTTCTGCCTTTGAAGCCAGCTCTCCATCCACTGTGCCATGCTGCCTCTCATTATTATTAGATAATCTCTAATTTGAGCCTTTTATTCCACATACCATAAATAAACATTTTAAAAGCTACGATTCAGATAGGCTGGAAGAAATTCTCTACTGTACCACATAACTTTTATTGTTCCTATTTTAATCATTTCATAAAACATATGTCATCAGTATTGTCTTCTTATTTTTGGCTTGACCCAGTTATAAACTCTGTATTGATAATTTTTTCCATCTTCACAGTTTTTATTTTTTTTTTTTTAGTCTGAAGGGTTTCTTGGATCTTCTGTTTTCTCCCTTTAAAAAAATCCTCTCTTCCTTTTTTAGAGATTTATTTTATTCCTCTAAATTTCACCTTTGCCTTTCTCTTCTCATATGTATGCTTTACAATTAAGTTTGGCAGAACAATTCTACTTAAGAAGCTTGTACTATATCTAAAGTCTTTACAGAATTATTAGCAAATTCATGGAATTAGAATTTCAGCTAAATTGTAGTATGATAGGAGAGATATGACATACACATAATTTTAGTTCAAATTAAAAAATGAAAGCAGAAGCATATAGATATTCAGTGTTTAGCAGAAGTGTGGGAAGTATTTCCAGCTGGAGGGTGGAAGTGGGATGGAGGTACGTTTTATAGAAGAGATATTTGAGCTGTGCCTCGAAAGGTAGAATTTCAAGAACTGAAGGTACAGTTAGGATGAGAATTGGTTAGAAAGAAACTGATAACTACTAGATAGCTCCTTTACAGCAGAGACTTCTTCCTATTTTGTATTTTTGTGGGTCATTTGTATATATTGAATTAGAATTGATTAAAAAATGTTAAAGGAACCTAATGAATTAATTTACTCATCTGTTTTCACTGCTGTAGCTTTGAAATTAGTTCTTTAGTCAAAATATATAAGTCAAAGATAGGTTATTTCTTTTGTTTTTTAATTAATTTATTTTGATTTATTAACAATCACGTCCATAAGCTTTTGAGTTTTAAATTTTTCTCCCCCTCCCTCCCCAAAACAGCACACAATTTGATATAGGCTATACATATACATTCCTATTGAACATATTTTCACATTAGTGATATTGTAAGGAAGAATTAGATCCAATAGGAGGAACCACCAGAAAGAGGAAACAAAATACAACAGAAGGAAAAAAATAGCAAATAGTATGCTTTGATGTGCATTCAGACTCCATAGTTCTTTCTTTGGATGTGGATAGCATTTTCCATTATGAGGCCTTTGGATCTCCAAAGTCTTAGATCCTTGTATTGCTGAGAAGGGTTAAGTCTATCATGATTAGTCATCGCACAACATGGCTGTTACTGTGTACAACGTTCTCCTGGTTCTGCTTACTTCACTCAGCATCAGACCATACAAGTCTTTCCAGGTTTTTCTGAAGTCTGCCTGTTCATTATTTCTTATAGCACAATAGTATTCCATTACGTTCATATACCACAAGTTGTTCAACCATTCCCCGGTTGATCGGCATCCTCTCAATTTCCAATTCTTTGCCACCACAAAAAGAGCTGCTATAAATATTTTTGTACATGTGGGTCCTTTTTCCATTTGTATGATCTCTTTGGGATACAGCCCTAGAAGTGGTATTGCTGGGTCAAAGGGTATGCACATTTTTATAGCCCTTTGGGCATATTTCCAAAAGATAGGTTATTTCTAACAGGGAAGAGGGTTAGCAAACAGTTGAGGTAGTGACTCATTATTCTTTAGTGAATTTTTTCACATCTTGTCTTATTTCTTACTTAAAGTAAGGCACAGCATTGTTTTTAGTTCAGAAATATGACTCTCAGTCTCTACTTTCAACAGGTCTGTGAACTTCAAATAACTTATTTATGTAGTAGGGATATTTTGTATTCAAGTGGGCTGTTTTGTTTTCATTAATTTTTTTGGTTGTAGAACTTTTATTAGTGACCAAGCAATTTTTTCTTCTCTGTTTCAGATACAAGATCTTAATTTGATCTTGAGCTATGCCATAAAATAATTGTAGCAGAAAATGTTTGACAAAAAAGTTTATTCTATTTTAAAAACTATCAAAATAATACTAAATATTTTTCTTTTCCTCCCTTCTAGAACAGAATTATTGTGAGTCTCGGTATCATTTTCTGCACTCCACAGATGGAGAAGGATGTGCAAATATGTTAGTAGAATATTCTGCCTCTCGAGGATATCGCAGTGAGGTGGACATGTTTGTAGCACAGGCGGTCTTACAGTAGGTATTCCTATTTTGTTCATTTCAAGACTATTTACTTTGAAAAATATTTGATTATATGAACTAACTTGTATTCTAGAGTAGCTTAAAAAACTAGTTTGCAACTTATCATTTGGTAAGAATAATGTGAAGTTAAGAGTGTTTGTGCCTTTAATGAAAATCTTAAGATGTAGACTGTAGGTTTAGTATTTTTTTTTTTCAGGAACTATGCCTTGCTAATAACCTTTGAAGATCAAAACTTTTTCAAGTCTTAATTTTTATGATAACTTATTTGAACTTCTAAGTCACTTTTTATTTTAATTGAGCAGCTCCAGAATTGTTTTGAAAGACCTACAGATTAGATTAGTTTCATTTTCAAAATGTATTCGAAAAACAAAACCAAACCATTATCTTTCTCTTCTAAGACAATTTGTCTCTGAAAGGAAAAACACATTTGATTAATTATAAGAAATGCCTTGGGGCAGCTGGGTGGCACAGTGGATAGAGCACCGGCCCTGGATTCAGGAGGACCTGAGTTCAAATCCAGCCCCAGACCAAACACTTGACACGTACTAGCTGTGTGACCTTGGGCAAGTCACTTAACCCCAATTACCTCACTAAAAAAAAAAAAGAAAAGAAAAGAAATGCCTTACGGTTTTCTTTACTGTAAATAAGACCAACACACTGAAACTGAAATTTGATTTTCTTACCCAACATTTTTGCTTGTAAAATAACGATTAAAATTCTGTGTAGCATTGACTTTTAAAGTGTGATGAAGGAGACCCGCCCCCCCCCAAAAGACAGAGGAAGCAAAGGCAAGAGACTAACCTAAATGTGTTGTAGATTCTAAACAGGGCAGAGATTATCTATCCTAGATGCTTGGGCTATGTGATTTTTTTGTGGGGGGTTTTTTAAATTTTTTTTTATTTTTAGGCAATTGGGGTTAAGTGACTTGCCTAAGGTCACACAGCTAGTAAGTGTCAAGTGTTTGGTCGGAGGCCGGATTTGAACTCAGGTCCTCTTGAATCCAGGGCCGGTGCTGTATCCACGGGGCCACCTAGCTGCCCCCTGGCTATGTGATTTTTTCCAAATCTTCTTTCTCCTTTATGCATGATTTTCACATGTGTAATTTTTTTTCCTATTCTCCTAAAACCCGATTTGGTTTGGCATATGGATACATTTGAACAGGATTTGCTTTGTGGAAGTTTAAGTGCAGAACTTAATACTCTGGTTTGTTTACCACGTAGGTTTTTGTGATAGATGGTTCATTGATAAAGGTGTATGTTGAACATCTAAGATGTGTTCTTGCCTTCAGGCATCTTACAGCATATTGGAAAATATGAGCTATACGACAATGCCTTGAAACTGAATTGGTGTAAAAGTTTAAAATACAGAGCTTTTCGTTGTTCTACGCATTCTCTCTAGAACTAAACTTAATACTTTTAATGAATTCATTCATTATAGGCAACTTATTTTTGTACCCCCAAAATGTTCTGAGATTATTATTTGTGGAGATCTTAAGATGAAAAATTTTAGTGACATACAGTTGTAGAACTATAGCATGGAAATTAAAAGTTAGTGTGATACTTTGACTATTAAACAGAAGCTATTTATGCTCCTTATTTCCTGACCCAAAGGACTCTAATAAGACCTTTATATGTCCTGATATGTGTGGAATTTGTCTGCATTATAGTGGCATTGCCCTTATGTACTATGTGAGTATAATAGCCACATAGTATTTTGAGTTTTTCCAAGGGATACATCTTTTCATTATTGTATGCAGGAAGAGTATAAGAGGATTCCTTCTTAGACCTTTGGATTAGATCAAATTGATGAATGTTTTGTCTAATTTGGGCCAGTTCTTTTTAATTTCCTTTGATAGGGATAATAATTGCTTGTAAAAATTAAATCAAAAACAAAGAAATGAATTTTCTTTGATAAACCATGTACTTGATCTTTCTATGGAATTTTAAAATATGAAATCATACTACTTTTTATAGTCTTCCTAAAATATAGCATTTTCTTAATTTTTTTCCTTAGGTTTCTCTGTTTAAAAAATAAAAGCAGTGCTTCAGTGGTATTCACAACATATACACAGAAACATCCTTCAATACAGAAGGGACCTCCATTTGTACAGCCCTTGCTCAACTTTATCTGGTTTCTGCTGCTGGCTGTTGAAGGGTAAATTTTATTGTGTTTTTATTAGCAGCAGCATTTTGGTTTATGGCCTAAGGTTTCATCATTCTTTTCTGTTTGTTTTTTTTTTTCCAGAGGCAAACTAACTGTATTTACAGTATTATGTGAGCAGTATCAGCCCTCACTCAAGAGAGATCCTATGTACAATGAGGTTAGTAGCCAGATGTGTTTTATTTGAACAGTTGGATTATTAGACAATACATACTATTTAAAATGAAAAGGACTTCACAAACCTACTTTTGCCTTCAGTAGGATAGAATGGAGTTACTCTTGTTGAAGATATAAATTTAACCAAAATTGAATGTTGGTTGAAAACACTGAGCATAAAGAGTTGAGTCATGAAAATGATGGGTGTGTGTGAGCTATGTAGGTCAAGCTTCTTTTTTCATTATTTGTAAATTGACAGTAGCATCTCTTTCCTGTTTTTCAGTATCTCGATAGAATAGGACAGCTCTTTTTTGGAGTACCACCCAAGCAGACGTCATCCTATGGAGGCTTATTAGGTAAAAAGCCTGAGTTGCAAATATTGCTAATCTAACTGCCTTTGCTTAACATTTGAATTTAAATCCCTATTGTCATATATATTTTGTTTAGCCAGATGTTCCATCTCTAAGCACATGATAGTAACCCCATGAGAAATCATTTATTTCACTTCCCAACTAAAAGGCATGCTTTTATCTCAGGTGATAACAGAACTTATGTTAAGGAGCTGTAATTTCTTTTGGCTTGCTGTAGTACTTCATGTAAACGAGAACCATCACTTATTCTTAGGAATAGTTTAGGGGCCTCTGAGGCTATCTAGGTGGCAGTGGCTTATAATGTACCCGCTCGCTACTGCTGGCTTTACAGGGAATGGCTGAACACTCCTTTAAAAGTTTTTTTTGTAGATTCTTAGTTGAAAAAGACAGATTTGGAAACTTTAAAAGTGCACTTTGAGTTGGTTATGACCCTTTGCAACATTTCATTTCTCATTTCATTGTAGGGAACCTTTTGAACAGTCTTATGGGATCAGGGGAGGAAGAGGATGCAGAAGATGGTCAAGAAGATAGCAGTCCTATTGAACTCGATTGAAAACTTTTTTCACTAGGAACTGCATGAATCAGACATCTTGATAACTCAAAAGACATTTTCAGAATATGAGCCCTGAAATTTTGTTTTTCACAACTAGGAGGGCTCTCCATTCTGTTAAAAGAAGGTTGCTGAGATGTTTATAATGTTTGGTCTATATTATTTATGTAAAAAGGGTAGCCAGAAGAACTGATTGGAGTGATTGTTAGCAGCCTTTCAGTATGCTGACCAGTGACTTTTGATTGAGTTATATAGTCATTTATGGTTTCAACTGCAGTATTCCTTTTCAGATTAATACAAAATAAAGCACAGGCATTACTGTTACTTTACCCTTTCAAAATCATTTTGTTTCAGTTTCTTATGGGGGAAAAATAACACATTAACTTTTGCTGTCACAAAGGAATGTCTTGAAAGGCAGAGTAGTTTTTAGCTTTTTCTCTGAGCCTGGTGCCAAATGTGTTTCAAGGCATGCCAAAAGAAAGGGTGCATTTCGTTAGCTCGATAACATTAAGTACCCTTTGAAGTGCAGCACATTTTTGGAAAACAAAAGAATTGGCTATCTCAAATCACAATGTAACTTGTGCCCATCAAAACTGATTTTTTTTTTAACCTTTCAAATGTGTGTGTTCTGAGTTTTGCTTTAATTTGAATGGATCTTTGTAGCATGTAGGTAAGAGGCTGAAGATATTGAAGTCCATTCTACTGGTTTTATACATAACAAATTCTCATGTTGTCAGTCTTTCTCCTTCATCCATGGGATTTTGCTGCCTTTGATGGACTTTGACAGTGTTAGTTGTGTATGTGTGTAAGGTGACAGTTGTGTTTAATAAAGCAAGCCAGCAACCCCTGCCTTCTAAGTACGACCACTTTTGAAATGTCATTTAAAGAAAAGGGATATTGCAGAACTTTAATTTCTGTCTTAATGCAATATTTATTTTTATTGGGTGAATGATTCCTTTAACTTAACATTTTAGAGAAAAAAGACATGAAATTACAGGAATAACTGCAGACCAGGAATTAGCAAGTCTACACTTTATCACCTTATGATGCAGTGCAGTATGCCAGATATTACCAATATAATTACAAAAGGGGGTGGGGGGGGAAACACTTTATTTTTTCACAGTTAAAAGACGTAGATTAATACACAGTGATCATGCATGGGGAGGAGGGAAATACAATTTTATTTACTGTAAAAACAAATGGAATTTAAAGGAAGGTTTTGTGTTAATGTTGAGTTTAAATAAATACTTTATACTGGGACTTGAAGCACTGTTGATTTTTGAAATAGCTAAATGGGGAGGGGGTATGTCTCATTTTAAGCCTTTTTCTCTCCAACATGAAAACACTGAGTACTATATTCCATCAAATTTCTGATGGGTAGGAACAGCGGCTAGCTGCAGGGTGCTCTTTAGGTTGCCAGGCCTTACTTCTTTACCCAAGGCTGGGCCAGCTTATTTCAATAAGCTGTAAATGTCTGTAACACAGGTATACTTCTAGTGTAGCTTAGGTGGTGAGATATTTTTCTTTATTTGAGCACTGATGGTACACAGAAGACATCAATTCTCATACACACACACACAGACACACAGACACACACACACACACACACACACACTCTCTCTCTCTCTCTCTCTCTCTCTCCCCCCTAGGATTTAGAGGAAGAGATTTTAGAGGCTATTGCATCCCCCCACTTTACAGTTGTGGGAACTGAGCATTGGAAAAGGGAAATGACTTTGCCCAAGACATTGCATAGATGGTGAAGTCTAAGTTTTCTGATTCCAAATCCAATGTTCTATAATGGCATAGGTGTTTTCTGTCTGTCAATGATGCTTAAAATTTTTTTTTTTTTTAGTTTCCCCATTCCTGGTACAGAACATCTACACTTAGAAATCATCTAGATAAGTATAATTAAAACTTTGATGTGATGAAATATCAAGATACCTAAGACAATAGTGTACTTCCACTTAGTAAAGACCCTTGTTGTTCTATATACTTGCTGTAAAAATTAACATTATTCCATCCAGCTACTAAGAGACCTCCCAGCAGCTCTTAGGCTTATGGCTCATTAGTGGTGTCTACAAAGTGACCTGAAATTTCCTTGTTGTGCTGCGATTAGGCACCCATCAGGTTCTCCAGAGAATTAAAGACTTTGGTAACGACTTGATTACCAACCCTACTGCTTTTTTTTCTTTTTTTAAACTTTGGTGTTTCACTTGATTTTTACCTGAAAATTTTTAGAGAATAAGCCCCTTTTGTAGCACAGATGTTCATAAGATTATAGTGACAGGGCAGATTGGCCATGTTACAGTCACACAATCATGTACTTTGTACCTTTACTGTAGTGTATTTAAGCATGTGCAGTAATAAGCCTGTCAATAAAACCTTTCCAGTCTATGAAGTGTGTGCAAGTTAGAGATGTGACATCATCCAATTGGATTCTGTGGAGTGATTGTACTAAGTGTAATGTTAGCATTCTGTTTCTTGCCACTGATTCCACTTCTGTACAGATTTTTTTTTTCTTCTTAAATGTTTCCTCACGTCCCCAAATAGATCACGTGCAGTTGTGGGAAGAATCCTCAGCATTCTACGGTCAGAAAATTCTACTTCACAGCTCCAGATTCAGAGATGTAATAAATCAATAAATCAGAATTTGAAATGAATCACTTGGCTCCATCCATATGTCATTTCCTGCCCTTATTTTCTAGCCTGTCCTTACCTGGTCTTTTTTTGTTGATATTTTTTAAACTATTTGTTGATGCTTTTTTTTTTTTTAACATCTGTGTTGCTGTGTACCTACCCCTTCATATAGAAACCCCACTTACAGGGGCAGATATGTGGCACATTGTATAGAGCACCGGCCCTGAGGTCAGGAGGACCTGAGTTCAAATGTGGCCTCAGACCAAACACTTGACACTTACTAGGTGTGTGACCCTGGGCAAGTCACTTAACCCCAATTGCCTTTAAAAAAGAAAGAAACCCCATTTATAACAAAGAAGAGTAGTAGAACAGACACATCAAACATCTGTGACATCATATGTGTCATTCCACACCTACATTCAAGAGATGTTTCAAAGTTGGTCACTACATTCATCTGAATTCTTATCTCTTACCTTTTGATTTCCTTTATATAGACATTGTGTCTGTCTTGGTTCTGATTTGAAATCATTCTGCATCAGTTCATAGAAGCCGTTTTTTAAAATGTCTTTACTGGTGTCATTTGGTTTTCTTGCACCACAGTAATTTCCCCCTTTATCTTTCTCACTTCCTGAGAACCATCCTATATAGCAAATAGTATTTTTGAAGAGTGAAAAAAAAAAGAAAAAAGACAGCACAACTGATGGATATGTTGAAAAAGTGTGAAAGCAAGTGCAATATGTAACACCTGTGGACCTTTCACTTCCACAAAAAAGGGGTAGGTTGGAAGTTTCATCTCTTCATTCAAGTCATGCTTGATCTTTATAATTTTGTTACATTCACTTCTAATTTTTTTGTGTTTGGATCTTAAAATTTATATTGTAGTTACTGTGTATGTTGTTTTCTTAGCTCTGCTTAGTGCAACAGTTCATGTAGTTGTAGATCTTTCCATGCTTTTCTGTAGTCATACATAATTTCTTAAGGCATAGTAATGTTCCATTACATTCATGTACCACAGTTTGTTTAGCTTTTCCCCAGTCAATGGGCAAATGCTTTGTTTCCAATTTTTTGCTATCACAGATAAAGCTACTATAAATATTTTGGAATACATGGGGACTTTATTCTTATTGATGACTTCCTTGAGGTATAAGCCTAGTAATGGAACCTCTGGTTCAAAGAATATAGACATTTTAATAATTTTATTTGCATAATTCCAAATTGCTTTCCAAAATGCTCATTTTTCATAGCTCTGCCAACAGTGTATTAGTGTGCCTATCCTTCCATGACACCTCCAACATTTGCTGTTGGCAACATTGTTTTAATTTGCATTTCCCTTATCATTAGTGATTTGGAGCATTCTTTTGAGAAGTGTTCATATCTTTCGACCATTTATATAGTGGGGAATGGCTATTAGCTATATATATTTAATAATTGCTTATGTATCTTGAATATCAAACCATTATCAGAAACATTTGATACAAAGGTTTTTTTTCCCCATTTAACCACTTCCCTTCTTAGCTTAGGTGCATTAATTTTGTCTATAGAAGCTTTTCAATTGTCAAGTAATCAGTTATCATTTTTATCCTTTGTAACTGCCTCTGTCTCTTGTTTGGTTAAGAATACATCTTCCCATAGCTGTGAAAGTATGATATCTGTTTATCTCCTAATTTTTTAATAGCATGATCTTTAATATTAAGATCCCATATCCATTAAGAATGTATTGTAGAGGGGGCAGCTAGGTGGCTTAGTGGATAGAGCTCCAGCCTTGGAGTCAGGAGGACCTGAGTTCAAATCTGGCCTCAGACACTTGACATTTACTAACTGGGTGAACCTGGGCAAGTCACTTAACCCCGATTGCCTCACCAAAAAGCAAAAAACAAAAAAGGAATGTATTGTGGAATATAGTTAAAGGTGTTGATCTGAGGCTGTTTTCTGCCAGACTCCTTTCCAGGTTTCCCAGTTTATTTTTTTAAATCAAATAAGGATATTTTTCCTAGGTAATTTATGTTATCAGACACTGGATTATTGAATTCAATTTTTTCTGATTCTCCCTTGTCTAGACTGTTGCATTGATCTCTATTCTTTAACCAATACCAGATGGTTTTGATGACTGCTGCTTAATAATATAGTTTGAGGTCTGGAAGTAATATTATTCCTTCTTTGTCCCTGCTTTTTTTCATCATTTCACTTGATAGTCTACTTTTGCTTTTCCAAATGAATTTTGTTATTTTATCAAGTTTAGTAAAGTGTCCCCTTGTTTATTTGATTGGTTGCCAATTATATTGTAATCTGGTTTGGGCTGCACTTGGGAGTGTTGTGGTCTGCATGTTTGACATTTGTGTTCTGAATCTTTTGTTTTTCCAAATGAATTTTGTTATTTTGTCAAGTTCTATAAAGTATTCCCTTGGTGATTTGTTTAGTATAGCAATAAAAGTGTAAATTAACTCTGGTAGTATTGTCATTTTTATTATATTGGCACTGAGTATTCCTCCAGCTGTTGGTTTTTTTTTTTTTTTATTTCTTTAAGGAACACTTTGTAATTAAGTCTACAGTCTACACAAGTCTTTTATGTGCTTTGGAAGATCAATCTTTGGATATTTTATGTATTTTCTTGTTACTTGCCATGGAGTATCCCCTTCTATTTTTGCTTCTTGGGTTTTGTTATTATATAGATTTTTGAGGGTTTATTTTGTAACCTGCAACTTGGCAACTATTGTCTCAATTGGTATCTTTGCTGATTCCCTAGGATTTTCCAAGAATACCATTATATTAGCAAATAGGGATAGTTTTATCTCCTCTCTACTGATCTTTGTGCTTTAAATTTCTTTTTCTTGCCTTATTTCTGTTGCTAGCATTTTCATAACTATCAAATAAAAGTGGGAAGAATGGATAATCCTTGCTTTACCCCCAAATTTATTAGAAGAAGTTCTAGTGTATACTCATTGCATATAATGTTTGCTTTTGGTTTTTGATAAATATTTTTTATCATTTTTTAAAACCCCTTAGTGCCTATACTTAGTAGAGTTTATAGCATAAATATGTGTTGTACTTTGTCAAATGTTTTTTCAGCATCTGTTGAGATAATTATGTGGATTTGGATGTTTCAGTTTTTAATATGATTAATTATGTTGATTATTTTCCCAATGTTAAACCATCCTTGCATTTCAGTCTTTTTTGAGTTGTGTCTGACTCTTTGGGACTACATTTGGGGTTTCTTAGCAAAGACATTGGAGTGGTTTGCCATTTCTTCCTCCAGCTCATTTTACAGATGAGGTGACTGAGGTAAACAGGGTGAAGTGGCTTGCCAAGGGTCACATAACTAGTAAATGTCTGAGGCTGGATTTTTAAACTCAGGTCTTACTGACTCTAGGCCTAGTGCTCTATCCACTGTGCTGCTTATCAGCCCAATCCTTCCATCCCCAGTATAAATTCCACTTGGTCACAATGAATGACTTCTTGGTGAAATTGTAGTTTGATAAGAATTTGTTTAAAATTTTTGAGTCATTATAATGATGTTGATCTTTAGTTTTCCTTCTGTGCTTTATTCTTTCTTGGATTAGGTATTAGGACTATTATGTGTCTCATAAAAGGATTCTGATAGAGTACTTTAATAATTTTGAGAATAATTTGTA